AACTCCACAAAAAAATAATTTTAACAATTATCTTTAACAATTATTTAAATATATTAACTATATTTAAAAGAGAGTAATTTAATGAAAGAATAAAATAAAAGAGAGTAATTTAGAAAATGCTTCAATGGAAAGGGTGGGGGTATTCATCCATATTTTTTCTCAGAATGGGCCTGGAAAAGAAAATTCACTTAAGAAGGAAATACAAAACACAAAGAATAACAGAACTGGAAGCCCAAATTTTTAATCATAAACTGAAGAAATGGTTGGAGGACACTAGAAAGGAGTGTCTTTAAGGGCCAAGATGAAGAACACTAACTGGGGAATGAAATGGAGAGTTGACTGTATTAAGTCAATTCAAGCAAAACACAATGAAAACTTCATCTTGTGATTTTTTTTCAATGGGACTTTAAACAACTTGCTAATGATCAACTGAACGGGAAATGCACTGGAAATAAGTACAATCAAGTCCTTCAGTGTGGCAGCCACCAAAATGCATCTCCTACTGGGAGAAGTAAAATCATTGGCTCCTGTTATGCTCTGAAATCCTTCACCTATTCATACAGGTGAACACACTGGGCATTCCACAGTCAGGTACCAATCAGCCACTGAAAGAGTGGAGCAGGGATACTATGGCTCCAAGACTCCCCATTGGCCTTTCTTAGAACTGCAGTTCAATCTAAGACCTTCCTTTTCTCCCCTCTCTTCAGAAGGGTCAGGTGCATGGAGATCTCATAGCTCTCCCAGCCCCCCCAGCTCCCGCTTCCTTGACCCTACAGTTGTTTCCCCCCAAGAGCTCTCCTGAATGTCCACTGTCATCTTGATGTTTGCTTCTCAGAGGACTTGGAATAACATATTTAGTGAAAGCCAACCTTAAAATTTTTTTGATGCAGGAATCACTGAGCAGAAAGAGTTCCTAATATTTGGCCATTACTACCATTACTACAGACAGGGAAGGAAGAACCTCATTGCTGGTGGAAAGTGGTGGAGTGGTAGAGGTGAGAGAAAAAATATGGTGAAATAAGTGAAGGAAGTGCTTCAATCGCTGGAGAGTTAAAGGCCGAGAAACATATGCTTTCACCCTTCCTCCCACATCCTCTACTACATATACAGAGACACCAGAAGGAAACGCCTCACCACACTCATGGAGGAGTAACCTGATTTCCTTTTGGATCCTGCACTGAGTGAGGGAGAGGGAAGTATGGCTGGCTTTCCAGCTTCCTAACATCTCAGCTGTGAGAGGCTAGATCTGGCTGTGGCAGACTACAGTGCGAAAGGCTAGAATCATATTCACCACTTAGGAGGGATATCATAAGTCTTTTTAAACTTCTATTATGTAACTTTACTTGCATTATCTCCTTAATCTTCAAAACAGCCCTGTGAAGAAGGCATTATTACCCCACGCCATATGTTCCTGGCTTTTTCCCTACTCTGATAAGTTTCTCTTTCTCAATCTTTTTTGCTGTGTCCTTATTCTTCACTAAACCTTAATTAGTATGCGTAAAGATTCAGGACTGAGACCTTTTTTATTCTCTTCCTACATTCTTTAAGATGTCTTTAGGAGATCTTAATCAGTCCTGAGGTTTTAAGTACCATTTATATGCAGGTGAT